CAAATGAGGGTGGTTTTATGGGCCACCCGCAGCGTGTGCCGAGGTTGCAGCTCTCAGCCCGGGTCGTTCCCCAGGGGAGAGAGGGCGGCTGTGGGTACAGCACCCATCAACCAGCCCTCAAAAGCCAAAGGAGAACCTTTGGTTTTCCACCACCTCCGATCCTCGGCGCCAGTGAGACCCAGGGAGGAAGGCGGGGAGGTGCAGGGCCCCGTGTCCCAGCTCGCCTTGCCCGGGCACAGGGCCACAGCCTCCTGCTGCAGCATCCGCCTGTCCTGCACTCCTGCACATACTTTCCTGGTGAGGCATCAGGCATGAACCTAATGGGTCCAGGCTGGTAAAAGCAGCGGCAGTGAGGAGGGGAAGTGGTTCCTTCCCAGCGGGGGGAGGCTCAGGGTGCTCTGGCAGCTCCGGATGCTGGTGGTGACAGGAGAGCAGGGCCTGCCCCTCCTGGGGGTGTGGTGGCTGCCTGCGGTGCGGTCTCATCCTCACAGGCAGCTGAGGCTGCAGAGAGGCTGCTCAGGGGTGTCTGTGGGGTGCAGCCCTGCTGTGGCAGGCAGGAAGGGGGACAGGCAGACCCTGCTGACCCCAGGCTGCAGCTGTGGGAGGGTGAGGGGGAATGTGCCAGCAGTGGGGAGCTGGCTCCCCATGGGAGCAGATGGCTTTGCACAGGGAGCTGGGGCAAAGATGGGGGAGAGGAGCAGGCAGTGGTGGGTGGCAAGCCCCAGGCTCTGCCTCCTCTGTTCTGGGCTGGTTGGCCAAACCTGGCTGCTCAGTGGGACTCAGCTTGGTGGCACCTGGTGTGGTGGTGCTTGACCTGGGGTTCAGTGGTACCCAGCTGTGTGGTACTGAGCTGCTGGTTCTTGAGTTGGTGCAAACTGCGGGTTCTGGGGTGGGTGCTTGAGGTGCAGAGCAGCTGGGCTGTCTCTGCCTCTCAGTTCCACAGGCATTCAGGATCAGGGGGGAGATTTCCACTCCCTTCCCTGCCTGTCCTGCCTCAAGGAGGGAGCTGCTGCTCCTGGCACAGGGAGCTGAACGTGACAAGGCCGTGCTGTGAGCGTGGCCTTGGGCTTATCAACATGCCTGGAGTGCAGGGTCCCTTGTTTCCCCTGGGGAGACCCAGAATGGCTGGCAGAGGGTCAGGGAAATAGCACTGGGGAATACTCAGGGATATCAGCCACACAGCTGGGTAGTCCCAATGGGAGTGTGAGGTGCAGGGATGGGCATCTGCCTTGGCTGCTTTTGGCAGTGTGAGTTTTGGGGGCAGAGTGCCCACCCAGCATTGCCCCACTGAGCAGCACAGGGTGCTCAGGCTGCTGCAGTTCCCTGAGGGTCACACTGTGGTTCAGCCAAGGGGTCTGAGATGCTGCTGGACCAGTCCCTGCAGGCCCATCTACCGGCAAGGGTGGGAGCATTCAATTCTCTTTTTCCACTTCTGGCGCTCCCCTGTGTCCCTAAATCCCATAGGAAATGGCCTCAGAATGGCTGGCTCCCTCCCAGCTCTGTGCTGGAGATTTGGCCTCCACACTTTTTCCTGGCCCTATCCCAGAGCTAAGGGATGAGCCTGAAATAACCCCTCTGGAGGCCAGACACAAGGAGAGGCTGGGATTGCTGCCCCTGGCATCCAGGGGTGCGAGTTGGGTTTAAAACACGGGAAACCCAATTAACTTGGCTCCATTAGCTGATTGAGCTGGCTGATAGGAGTATGGTTAATTAAAAGGATGAAGAATTATTTACCAGGTCCTCCTTGCTGTTGGGATGGGGTGATGGCCTAATGCATGAAATTGGCTTCTTCCCTTAATACCTGGTGCTTGTCTGGTGCCAGCCATCAGTTCTTCATGGCATCACCCCATGGCAGGGAGAAACGTCCTCGTGCCAGCCCCGGGTCTGCTCCCTGCTCCCTCTCCCCTCCAGCTTCCAGGGAGGAAAAAAAATTCAAGAGAAAAATATAATCCCTCTAGATGGGTGAAGCAGGAAAGGACCTCCTTAATTAACTGCACTTTCCTTGCCAAGCCTTGCTGTGGCTGTGGAAGCCCAGTGATGCAGAGGGACAGGCTGTGGTCGCTTCCCGCGCCGCCCCCGGCGCTTCCCGCGCTGTTCCCGGCTAACAGGAGCTGACGGCCCCACGGGGGAAAACAGCTCCTCACACTCTGCCCGGGGGCTGCAACCTCTGGCACTGCCTGGGCCATGGGCAGAAAGAAACTGGAATGGTTTCATGACTTTTTATAGTAATCCTGCTCACTGAAGCCGTGCCTGAAACAAGGACAGGTCACTGCTCGCTGTTTCTGTCTGGCATTGAAGGAGGTGGAAAAGACTCGACTCAGATCTGCTCCTTCCCTGCCAAAAAACCCCAACCCTAATTCTCAGGTTTTCCATCCATGGCAGAGATGCCAGTCCAGTCCAAAGGGCCCTGTGTGCTTCCCCCTCCTCCACTTGCAAGAGCCATGCACTGCTCTAGCACACAGTCAGTGGTTTGGTGGTGGCAGAAGTGATGTCTCTGCACAGGGACCATGGGATGAGTAGCCCCTGGTCACACAGGATGGCATTTCCCAAAGACTCCTGGGAGAATTTTCAGACCATTCATGCCTGGGAAGAGCAGCAGCCAGTGCAGACAGTGCTGCCACTTCTCCTCCACTCCCCTTCTCTCCCTGCCCCAAACACTGTGACATCCCATCTCCCAGTGATGGCTCCCTCCTTTGCCCACCCTGCCATTTACTGGCCTGGAAATTCGTGCCAACAGCCCTAGGATATCTTAGACATGATCAAACAAAGCCAACAAGACCTGAAGATCCTGAGTGGGGGTGTATCAATGGTGATTACTCTGACAGGGAAGGGGCAGGCATCCCCCAGGCCCTGGGGCTGTCGGTCACATCGCTCCAGCGTTCATCCTGAAATGAAAGATTATATGATTGGAAAAAGCCATCCACCTGTAAAAGCAGCAGAGCAATTTGCCAGGACCTTTTAATAGCCTCGCTTCATTATCTCCTGCAATCAAAAAGAAACTTGTGTTTGATGAGTACATGGTCCTCAGGAGGCAATTTAGGATCCTGGGGATGAAATTGGGAATGGAAGGGTATTTAGTGGCATTGATGAGTTGCCAAGCTTGCTCACCACAGAAGAAATCCTGAAATCCCTTATTAGTTTGAGAAGCAAACATTCAAATCTGGTGCAAAAAGCTCCTGCAGGTGGGGTTTTGTTTGTGGAGGCAGCTTGGATAGGATTGGGCGGGGAGGGCATGGATATTGCTGGGGTGTGTTTGTGTGTGGGTGCCCTGTCCCTGCTGGGGGCTGCGAGGACCAGTGCAGATGGAAATAGCTGCCAGCTCCTGCTAGGAAAATGATGACTCAAACCAGCCGCTGGGATTTCAGGCTTCTTTTACCGCACATGAGCCGGGCTGGAGGGGGTTTCCCTCCCCCTCTGCGGTCGGGGGCAGCTCCAGGAGGCCCCAGGATGGGGGCCGCACAAACTGCGCTCCAGATGGTGTCAGGGCTGGGATGCATCAGGCAGGACCCGGCTGGGCTGGGGAGCCGGAAAGGGATTTTCCCCCTTTCACCGGGAACAAAAATAATACAAGCACGTGATAGCTCATTTCCTTTAGCCTTTAAAAAGCCCCGTGGGATGGTAAGCAGCGGGAGCAGGGGAGGGGGACCAGCCCATCCTGCTTGGTGGCCCTGCCATATTAGAGCTGAAGAAAGCCCCAAAATTGCCTTTTACCTATGAATCTTTCCAGCGTTTTGCATCTGGGGGGGCGGGGGGTGTTATAGCTTTTTACTGGCTTTATTCCAAACTCCCTAAATGTAAAACCCCTCTGTTTAACAACCTTCCTGCTTTCTCCGCTGGCAGCAGCCCAAGGAAGTGATTGCAGTCACTGCTGGCCATGCGTGTGCCGTGTTGGCGTGTTAAAATTCCCTGCCAGAGCCCAGGAAAGCACCTGAACCGGGATGCGCTTTCTGTTTTTGGCTCTTTCCTTTAAAGTTGTCCCCACTTGAATAAATATTTGACAGGGGGTTGTTGGTTTGGGCAGGAGGTGTCCGTGCCTGGCAGTGCAATGGGCTGGGGGAGCCTTTGGGGTCCATGTTCTCCTCCCATCCCAACAAGGAGGTTTTTGGGGGCTTAGCAGTCTATTCCTGGAAAGCAAGCCAGCGTTTTCCAGGAGATGCTTTTTCCTAGGGAAGAAGCATCGTGGTGCCTGCCAGCTCCTAATTACTGCTGCCGGCCCCGGCACTGGCTTAATTGGGGCCAGGGCTGAGCCGTGCAGGTGATGCCTCTGCGGGGTTTCGCCTCGGGGCGGGGTCACCCCCTCCCAAAAAGGCCTGGAGGGGAGGTCATGTCTCCAAACCCTTGGGATTCTGGACTCTTCTCCAGCTCAGTGACTCGGTTAAAAGGGGATTTTCAGCCTTTTTTTTTTTTGACTTGGCCAAGGAGCGCTGTCTGGCTTTGCCCACCCCCTGCTCGGGGGGCTTGACCGCTCCTCCCGCCCTCCCCGGGCGCAGGCGCCACCACCTCTGCCCCGGCTATTTTTACCCGCCAGGATCACGAGCGAGCGAGCGAGCGAGCGAGTGACCTTCCCCAAGGGACGCTGCCACCCGTGGGGGGACAGGGACAGTGCCGGCGTCCGTGCCCGGGGTGCCCGTCAGGCTGCGGAGCGGCCGCTCCCCGGTTCTTTCCCGGCTGCTCCCCGGCTGTCTCGGCGGCGGCGGCAGCCGGCGAGGAGGGTTTTGGAGGGGCTGCTTATGGCGTGATAGAGAAGGAGAATTTAGCCTACAGAAAGGAGCCGTTTGTTCGGCTCCGGAGGCGAGTTCATGGCTGAGCCTTTGTCTGGCAGGGACAGGGAGGGCACAGTCCGGGAGCTGCTGCGAGTTCCCCAGGCGCGGATAGCGATGCCGGCATCTCAGCTCCCTGCGCCGGCTTGTCCCCTTCGGGTATGGCTCGTAGCCTGCAGCCCCGTGCCTGGGACGCATTTTGGGGCGTTCGGTGGGGAATAAAGTCCTCAGCCCCAGCACCCTCCGCCTGCTCGGCGCAGCCCCTCTCTGCTGTCTGTGTCGCCACCCCTTGACGCGCCGTCCCCTTCTCCCCGCTCCAGGCCGGTGTGGTGGTGGCCGCGTTCCCGAGCCAGCGGCTGAGGGCAGCGTGCCAGCGGATCAGCTAAACCCGGGCATGATGAGCACCGTGGCGGCCGAGCGCCAGCCGGGGCCGGGACCTGGAGGAGCCGCCGGGGCGCGGTGCCGCGGCTGAGGCCGGCGCGCCGAGCTGTGCCGGAGCCCGCAGCAGATGCTCCGTGCCCGGCCCGCGGAGCCACCGGGGGCCCTCGCCGCGGCCGGACGAGGCGGATGGAAAGCTGCAGCCCAGCAGGTAGGAGCCCGGTGCGGTGGGTGCTGGGAGGCTCTGCACCCCCTCCCCGCACCGCCGCCCAGGAGTTACAGCGCTCGTTCCTGCAGGGAGCCCCGCTGGCCGGCTGACGCCCTCCCGCGCCCTATGCCCGCGCCCTGTGCCGGAGCGGGCGCCGTCCCCGGCTCAGCCACCCGACGACCATGAAGTGCTCGTTGCGCTTCTGCTTCCTCTCGACCGCCTTCCTGCTCGTCTTCGTCATGTCCCTCCTCTTCACCTACTCCCACCACAGCATCGCCTACCTGGACCCCGGCGGGCTGGGCGGCATCCACCGGGTGAAGCTGGTGCCCGGCTACGCCGGGATGCAGCGGCTCAGCAAAGGGGGGCCGTACCCCCGGAGCTGCTCCTGCCGCCGCTGCCCGGCCGAGGAGCCTGGAGCCACCGACTGGTTTGATGGGCGCTATGACGGCACCGTGTCCCCAGTGTGGACCAAGGAGAACATGGACCTACCGCCCGACGTCCAGAGGTGGTGGATGGTGAGCGCAGGGACGGGAGTGCCACGGCGTGCTCTCGCACGGGGGCACAGATTTCTCCTCTACCCAGAAGGGAGCGCTGGCTGATTGCCCCCTGCCCTGCTTCCCTCCTCGCAGATGCTGCAGCCCCAGTTCAAGTCCCACAACACCCACGAGGTCCTGAGCAAGCTCTTCCAGATCGTGCCGGGCGAGGATCCGTACCGCTCCCGTGACCCGCGCCGCTGCCGCCGCTGCGCCGTGGTCGGCAACTCCGGCAACCTGCGCGGCTCCGGCTACGGCCCCGAAATCGACGGGCACGACTTCGTGATGCGGTGAGGGGGGCCAGGGAGCGCTGCCAGGGCCCTGCCCACCCGGGGAGCACAGGGACATGGGGTGATGCTGGCACTGGGTGCTGGGAGGAGTGGGAGTGAGTCCAGCCTTGCCCTCTCCCCTGGGTGGGAAGCTGCTGCTTGGCAGCATTCAACAGCTCGTGGGGATCACCCATGTCATCTGCAAGGCAGGGGGCATTGGGACAGTGGTGTCATCCTCCCTGCTCTCTCCCCAGGATGAACCAGGCCCCCACGGTGGGCTTTGAGGGTGATGTGGGTGGTCGGACCACACACCACTTCATGTATCCCGAGAGTGCCAAGAACCTGCCCGCCAATGTCAGCTTTGTGCTCGTGCCCTTCAAAACCCTGGACCTGCTCTGGATCGCCAGTGCCCTCTCCACTGGCCAGATCAGGTTGTAAGTACCCAGTGGGCACTGGCAGCCCCAGGCTGGTGGCTCACCTACCTCAAGGACAGCTCCCCTGGGAGTAATGGGGATTCATTTGTTCCTCCCTCCAAGAGCCCCCCTTGGCAACTCAGGCTGGAGTTGGGGGCATGGGACCCCCAAGAGCTCACCTGCCTCTCTGCTCTTTTCCCAGCACATACGCACCTGTGAAGCCTTTTCTGCGTGTGGACAAAGAAAAGGTACGTGGGGCTCATCCCTGTCACTGCCAGGAGCACCTGTATGGCCATGGCCCCTGTCACCTCATCATTCCCGAGTTCTCAGTGCTCCTTCACGGGGTCCTGGTGCCAAAGGGAGCACGGCTGGGGCTGCTGTGCTCACCCTGGCCTATCCTCCCAGGTGCAGATCTACAATCCTGCCTTCTTCAAGTACATCCACGACCGCTGGACGGAACACCACGGGCGCTACCCCTCCACTGGCATGCTGGTGCTCTTCTTTGCCCTCCATGTCTGCGATGAGGTGGGCGATGGCTCCTTCAGCTCCTGGCTGGCAGGGAGGGAGTTTGCTGAGGTCCTGAACCTTGCAGGGTTAAGGAAGGAGGTGAATTCTTTGGGTCAAATTGCAGCAGTCACTATGGTTGCCTGACACCACGGTAATGGGCACCCTCGAGAGGTGGGAAGGCTGTGCAGGAGGATGGGCACCTTTGAAAATCACCCCGGCAGTGCAGGGGTTGCTGAGACACCCCAGCCTGGTGGGGGGTTCTGTCTCACTCCCTCCTTTGTTATGGCAGGTGAACGTCTTTGGGTTCGGTGCTGACAGCCGGGGGAACTGGCACCACTACTGGGAGAACAACCGCTACGCCGGGGAGTTCCGGAAGACCGGGGTGCACGACGCTGACTTCGAGGCACACATCATCGACATGCTGGCCAAAACCAGCAAGATCGAGGTTTACCGGGGAAACTGAGGGCTGAGTCTCTGGCTTGCTGCTCCAGCATCCCCCTGCAGGGGCAGAGGGTGAGGGACTCCCTGGTGGCCTCAGGCAAGGAGCACGGATGGGCAGCGCAGTTCCGCATTGCTGACAGAGCCACCGTGGTGGCATTTGGTGCCTCCAGCAGCCAATCAGGTTCAGAGCTAAAGGAGACTTTTTGCTTTTTTTTAATTATTATTATTATTATTAAGAAACCCAGCTGAGAAAGGATTTATAAACACAATCAGCGACTGACCAGGCGGCAGGGGTGGCTGCCTTGCATCTCTCTACAGTCAAACCAAATGCTGCTCTTTTTAAACGAAGACAACGCCCCCACCCCGGAGCCGCATGACTTTGGGGAGCCCCTCGAGCGTCGCGTCCAGGCCCAGGGGGCCGAGGGGGCCGTGGCGGCTGCGCAGCCTCACCAGTGGAACCAGCTGCTTCTTTTTTCCTTTATTTTGGTGTTTTTCTTTTACCTGGTGCACCCGATGCCGTCGTTCCTCCAGGGAAGGCTCCTGGCACGGAGGCAGGGCCCAGCTCACGGATCCATAGTGGGGAGCCAGAAGCTTCAGGAAGCCGACCATTGCTGATACTCTGCTGTGGGCTGGCAACTGCTGGCACAGCTGTGCAGGGAGATGAAGAGGAATCTCAACTTTGGGGTGCAGCATTCCTACTCTTCTACCTGAGGACTGGGGAAGGGTAGGACAGATTTCAGGAATGACTGTACAGGAGGCAGCTAAGAAACTTACATGAGCAGCAGCCTGGTCACTCTTGCTGAGCTCTGCGAGCAGCTGCAGGATGCTCAAGGGGTTGTGGGATGCAGCAGGGTCAAGGAGACAGGATTTCCTTTGCTTTCAGGCTGGGAAGAAACAGATCAGAGATTAGTGGGTGAGTGAACTGCGCTTTTGCTTTTGTGTTGCTCTAAACAGCTCTGGTGAGAAGCTGAAATTCCAAAGTCTTTGCTCCTTTTGCCAGGGTGGTGCTTGGTTTACGCCAGTCTGGTACAGCTGGGGCCCTCAGGGTCCCCAAGGCTTCCTGGGCTGGACAGGCAGCCTATGACATGGGATGGGGAGATGCTGAAGGAAACTGCCTCCCCAGAGGTGTCATTAAAACCACTTTCTTTAGGTCAATCAGGTGGGGTTTTTTTTTAGGAGATGCTGAAAAGCTCAAGAAAAAGGCAACCATGGAAAAGTCCCCCAGAGAGGGACCCTCTGCCTGCACAGCCAGTGCTGAGAGTGGAGCAGGGGCTGTGGGGCAGTGCCCATCTGGGGAAGCTCTGCCCATGCTGCCTTGCTGGTTGCAATAGTTAATTTGAGGAACAATCACTCTAGGGTTTTTTGGGTTTGGAGATTTTTTTACCCTTTTGTATCTGGCTTTTCTGTAGCAGCCTCTTACCTGTTTCTCCACTTTGCTTTGGTTGTTTTTCAGGGTTTTCTTTTATTTTTTGAGGTTTCTCTTCAATTGTGAAACACGAGGGTGTGGGTTGGTCACCTGGAGCAGGCAAGTCAGTAGCCCCTGGGCGGGGGAAATTCAGCTTTTCTGTCCACAGGGATTTAAACTCCTGAGTTTTGTGGTGGGTTTTGGTCTGTAGAGGTGGAGCCACCCTGGTGCAGGCAGCCCTGAGCCACAGCACACAGGCTGCTGCAAGCCCTGCCCTCCACCTTCCTGGGTGGTTTTTGCTGATTTTTTGTTTTGTGGCTTTTTTTTTTTTTTTTACGGGGAAGAAAATTCAAAACCACAAAACCACGAGCAACAATGAGTGCCTTGACCATCTCCCATGGGTGGCGCCTGGCTGTGCCCGTGCTGGCGGCGGGGACGTGGCCGATGTACCTGGCAGTTGTACCCACTGTACCTGGCAGTTGTACCCACTTCCTTCCTCGCACCACGCTGGATCTGAGCTGGGCAGCGCTGCTGGGAGAGAGGGACACATCCAGGCCACCACGCTGGTGTCTAGAAAGGCCAAATCCAGTGTGATGAGGCAGGACCAGCTCCTGTTGCAGCTGAGCAGGGCCAGGCCTGACAATCACAGGGTGAGTGGCAATGCTGGGTACCAAACCCAGGTACCAAACCCTCCAGCAGAGCACCGGCACCCAGCGTCAGGCGCGCTCGCGGCTCCTGGCTGCCCTGACAGTATTTTTTTTTGCTAACTTCCTTCCCCTGCTCCCCTTTTCTCTGTTGTTTTAATTATTATTATATAATTATTTTTTATTTAAGCTGTCCCACTAGGACTGGCGAGCACTCGTGTCTCGCTGGCAGGGCGGCCGCAGGCAGGCGCGTGCTGCACGGCCGGCGCACCACTGTACTGTACATAGAGGAGCTGTAGGCACAGGCTACGGGCAGGGCAGGCAGGGAGGAGGTGCCCGGGCTGGCACACCTGGCAGAGGTTGTCTGCATCACACAGGACCTGATCCGAGCACCTCCTGCCCCACTGGGAGAGGGACAGACCAGTGCTCCGAGCTAGGGCTAGGAGCAAGGCAGGCAGCTTGGCCCGCAGCCTCTGTGTACATGGGTACTTCTGCACACAACTGTCTTAAACCAACTGGTTTTTTTAAAGTCAATAAAAATCATGCATCAAATCTACTTGGTGGTTTTCTTCTGATAGCTCTGTCTACTGTGCCTTTGCCTGCACCCAAACCTGGGCATCGGTGGGGTCAGGAGAGGAGGGAAAGGGAATGAGAGGGTTGCTGGGCCATGAAGATGCTCTGCTCTCCCCTCCTCTCCTGGGCCAGGCACCAGCTCCCAGCTGTGGTTACCATCCCCTCACTGGGGCAGGAGAAGGCCCTGGCCCTGTGCCAGCCTGGGTGCCCAGCAGCAGAGCCCCAGCACAACCCCTCCAGCCTGAGCCCAGCAGTTGGTGATGCCACTGCTCACCCAGACCCCACATCCATGTCCCAACCACCCCGGACCCTAAAACAGAGGCTCTGGTCCCATGCGGCCCGGGTCCCTGAGCCCCACCACAGCAGAGGGAATGACTTGAAGGACATAATTTTGAAGGTGAATACAGGCAGAGGCAGAGAAGGGACTTCCCCAGGGTGATGCAGGCCCAGAACTCACTCCAGCGCCCAGGGATGAACCATTCAACAAGCCTGGTGTCCCTGCAGGATCCCACCCACACAACCAGGGGCATTTCGATTCTGACACACAAGGATCTTGCATAACTAACAGCAAAATTCAGAAGTAGTTAAAATGCCTCTTTATTAATATACAAACCTAGCAACATTTAAGCCAACCAAAATATGAAATGAAATCAAGCATGATATAAATACAGCATACATGACAACATGGCCTCAGTGGAGAGCAGCAAACTCACCCTGACTTGTGCGCTTGGGAACAACTGTCCACGTCCTCTGCCGCGGGGTCTGGCAATCAGAGCAGCTCTGTCCCTCCTAAACCCCTCCAAATCCAAACTCAGCAGAGGTGAGACCACTGTTCCACTTGAAGGAAGAGTACCTGGCATGAGCCTTCTCAGACCCCACGCTGCAAAGGGATTCAAGAGCCTCCCTGTGCTGCTGGAGACAACCTGCTGGCACCTGCTTGCCACGGCCCTGCGAGGGCAGAAATGGCCATAGTGGATGGGGAACCATGCTGCTGACATTGCTCCTTGTCTGTCCCACCTCAGCTACATCCATTGCACAGCACTCACAAACATAAGGCACTAGAAGAGTGTTTTCACAGGCTCAAACTTCAGTTGTTCTTAAAATTCCAGCAGCAGCATGCATCAGAAATCTTCCCAGCCCTTTTAAAATGTGGTCTCAGGAGACAAAAGCATGAAGGGGGCTTGGATGAGTGTCCTGCTGCAAGCCTGACCAGGATATGCAGGAGAACCTGTCAAGAACTTCAGAGATACTCATCTGCCTCTGATTATACTGGAAGAAGTGAGATCTCTCCCACTACGGGAAAAGGAGGGAATTTTAGCATGGAAAAACCTTAGTGGTGCCATGGTGAAAGGCAACAGCACAGTTTTTCCTCCAAAGCACACAAAACGGATCAGGTCCTAGCTGGGATGGCTGACAACTCCCAAGTATCTGCTCTGCTTGTAGCAGGTGTCAAGGATCTGTGTGGGAAGATTGACTGTTACCAGTATTAACAAATCAGTAAATATTAATGTGAACATTTTCCTCATTATAAAGCACTGCTCCTCTTTGTTGAGATTCCTTATTCCAAGCAGGTGGAATCTCTAACAGAGCATCAGCCCAGCGTGCCACACCTGCAAAGCAGCTCTGCCTTGTGCTGTAACCCAGAAGCCAGCCTGACATCAGTAATGCAGCCCAGCTTTGAGACAAATGGGAGATGAGAAGTCTCAGAGCCATCTCAGCAAACACGACAGGCGGTAGCAGATCCCCTCCCCTCCCGCTCCTCCTGACTCCTGCCTGCAAATGTCAGCTGGTACAGCAGGGAAGCTTCAGGCAGAGAATTTTGTTTCCTTTAATGCAACAGGACACCCACAGAGTACTCTACACCAGCCCAGGCTTCTTTAGAGAAAGAAGAAACCCATTACACCAGAAGGAAAAAGTGAATAAATCCATTTGGTGGGGGGGGACAAACAGGAAGGTGTCAGCCCAGCAGCTGGACAGGCACAAGGGCTCCCAGCTCCATACAAATTCCAGTCTCAACCTGCAATAGCAGCTTCCACCATCCTCCAGTGCTTGCTCACAATTACCATCTCTGGGTGCACAGCACACAGCTTTCCAGGAAGGAAATCAAATGGCAGGCACAGCAAGTGCCCAAACACCTCACCTAAGGCTTTAAGGCATTTATAAATATTCATTCTTTTTTCCTCTCTCAAATGCAAGGACTACTCATGCCAAGGGCTAGAAGCATACTGCTACAGCCATAATACTTAAGGAAAGTTTAAAGTGCAAAGAAAATTTTCAAATGCTTTTTAGTGACAGCTTGAAGTCATCAGATGACACCAACCCCTGCCTTTCTTGAGTTTTGTTCCATGACTGCTTTTTTTTTTTTTCAACAGAAATCCAAACAATCAAGTAAGAAAAAAATTGTTTAAAACAGGAAAACATCCCGTAATAGGCAGAAATTATTCTGACTCAGTATTATAATAAACTTGTTTGGGAAGACAAACGTGAAGGTTGTGAACATTTTGCTCACCATTACCAGCAGCCAAAAGCTGTGTTTTAAATAAAAATTACTTCTGTCCTTGCAAGCAACTCCCCACTCCCCTGACACGGGAACTGCCTCATTTTTACAGATCTCTTCCCAACATGTCACCATTCTGTTCAAACATGCTGGAAGGATGAGGTTGGTGATGTCAGTGCTGTACCTTCACAGCTACAAGAACGTGCCAGGGAGACAAAAGTGCTCCAGGCAATCAAGTGCACACAGTCCCCACTCCTCCTGTGTGGAATCACTTCCTTTATCCCAATGAGGGGGACAAATGTGTGCTGGGAAATAAATGCTAATGCTGTCCCAACTCTGCCTGGAGCCAGGGCTCTCACCTGTCCAGCATCAAGGCTGCAGAGGAAGATTCTCCCTGAGCTCGGAATCGAAGCTGATCATCTCTCCAAGGCTGGGCTTAAGGAGCTGAATAATGAGCAAAGGATCAAACCTTCACTGCACCTCTCCTTCCACCTCAGCTCAGGCACTCCATAATCCCTCCACCAATTTTTATTTTGCGATGCCTCACTCTCTGATGGCAAAAGGACTAATGCACTCAGCCACCTGAGGAGGAGACTAAAGAAGTGTTAAGGACAGTGGGAAAATCCTGGCACAGGGAAAGGGAGGGTTATATGAGGGGATTTATAGCAGCTACAAACCTGCCTGGAGTTCTGATGTTGGTATCAGCACCATCCAAAAGTTGAATAAGTTAAATTGATGCAGAGACACAGGTCTAGGGCCAACCTGGCTCGGATGACAAAGCATCAGGTAGAAGGAAGAGAAGAACCTTGTGCATGAGAAATTCTACAGCAGCAGAGTTTGGAGGTGTTACAGGAAAAGTAACATGATCAATGGCAACTCAAATGCAACAGTAGAAAGGAGGAATCCAAGCCTACACCAAGATGTGGAGATGCAGTGGAAGTTTTACACAACCTCCTTTCTTTGCTACAAAATAAGAAACTGTTCAGCAAGTCCTATCAAATATAGATACTGGAGAAAACAAACATAAACTAAATCTGGCAAAGACAGATGTGAAAATGACTGTAACACATCCTCCTGAAACAGAAAACATAATTCTAGAAATAGACTATTAATTTTACCCTCAGATTGTTAAATATGAACCATATACTCCTGCTTTTCTAGTACCAGTTTAACTCAAGCCTTGCATTATTCACTCAAGGTCTACCAAAACAGAATAACTTAGGAAGGGACACATCAAGGTTAAGACAATATAATATCTCTGTAAAAATCATTTAATGGAAGGAATTGCTATGTCTTCCCTAAGTTCCCCTGATGGCACTTGGGCAAGCCAGCCCTCGCTTGGATGCACATTTAGATGGATTCCCTGGCTACCTTCCCTGCAAAGATGCCTCTATGGAAGGAATCTACAGGGCTGCTCCCATTCTGGACAGCAAGACTCAGAGAACTGGTAACAACCCTGTGACTGATACACATGAGGTGCAGAGAGCAGACCTGCAGCTGCTGCTTCAGCACAGAATGAGGCCATTTCCCCTTCTACTGCCTCAGAGAGAGATGCTATTTTTGTGTTTCCCAATCCAAGGTTCATAGTTTTACTGTGCAGAATGAGAACAAACCACCTTTTATAGTAAAAAGCATTTTAAGACAGTTTTAATGATGAGAATCAGGATGTAGAGTTTTGCAGTCCCTGTTATTTACCATCTTAGATGTAAAGACTATGCTACAGCAGCTTCAAATATCTGATTTTTAATTTTCTAATTTGAAGCTATATTAAAGGTAGTAACTCTTCAACAGATTTAGTTGTTCTTTTTTTAGGCAACTCTACTTTAATCATCAGATAAAGGGATTAGAGTCTTACATCACTGCTTAATACCTCAAGATGAAAACACAACACTAGAAGGATGTTCCTCCAACTTGGTATCACTATTTTAAAACGTGATCCAATTGTCCTCTTGACGGGTGTTCAAGTTGGTAAAGGCAAACTATTCTTCACATTGTAAGTTTAAAAATAGCTACACCAGAAATTAAATCGACTAAGCCTGAGCAGCAGTTAAAGACCTCTCAGGTTCTGATATAAAACAAGAAGAGAATTCATAGCAGGGAAGGTTGGAGTAGGCGTTAATGAGCTGTAAGACTGACAATTACCAAACCACCCAAGTCTCAAACAGCAAACACAGTGTTACACAAAGTGTTGCTATATCTACCATCATGGTGGAAAACTATTTCCACTCTCTATTTTTGGTATGGAAAAGTCAATAGATCTAGACATAAAATAAACCTTCCAGACATAAAATAAACCTTAGCAGACATAATGACAAAAGTAGCTCATAAAACACAATTTTACTGTCAGAACTGCTGGAGAAGAGACATCCGTGTATGAAAAGTTGCCTGAGGAACTAGCAGGCACCATTAAATTAGGGAAAAGGAAAAAATAATCACAGGAAGAATATAATGCAGCTGGAATGAGAGGTTGGTAAAGGACAGCATGCTCCTAGCTTTCCAGTTTGGTCTTAACTAATTCTAACTCTGCAGAGAACCGAACAGCTCAAGCTAAAATCCCTCTTCAGCAGTTTCAACACAAACTTCAGCCCACCTTGGCCCTATACTTTGCCTTCTCCTGAAGGAGTATCATGCCTTACTCAGCTATAACAGATGGTCAATAAACCCTAAGCAGAAGGGCTGCTCTAAGAACCTCTAAAAACCCTAAGCAGAAGGGCTACTCCACATCCTAAATATCACACACAAAACTCTTTCTTTGTTTGAATGCCTATTTCCATGGATAAGGAAGGCAAAGCAGTGTCCCATAAGACCAACAGACAAGGACCAAGGTCCTCCCTGGTACACACGTCCAGCATGGGAACAGTGGGATCATGGTATCTCTCTAAGCAGAAAAGATATGCAACTAATTATAGAGTTTAAACTGCTATTAGATGCTTTGTGAACCTTTCATTTAAGTGATTAATTCTAACATATCAGGCAAATTTCAGTTCAGAGAGCAATAATAGGGGAATTTGGCAGAAATGACAAGCAGGCGGAATCTCGCCTACAGCAGCTGCAGAGAGTACTCTGAGCTGCCAGATCTCAAAAAGCTGCCCCAGTGTGGTTACTCCTTTTCAGAAACTGGAGAACTGTGCATCTCAATTCAGAACTAGGTTTGAAATCCTGGAAGAAGCCACACATTTCAGTGGAACTCACCCCAGACAAAGGAAGGCATGCTCAGAGAAGTGATATCTACATTCAACCTACTATATACCATATGCTCAAATCCTAAATTCCCTTACAGTTTCCTGAACTGGCAGCCACAGACCCAACTGAAGGCACAGCTTAAAGCAACTAAAGCAGCAGAAAGCAAACTTAAAACAAGAATCAGGGGAGCTTTTGGGCTCATATTTACACTACTGATGCTCACCATTTAACTGGAAAATAAAGTGTCCAAAAGTGGTTTTAGACCATAGAGAAAGTGTTCACATAGCTAACGGGGCAGACAACAGTGCAAGGCTGTGTTTGAAGTCCAAAACAGATGCTGAAGAAGAAAGACCATGAGAAGTATGTGGTATCTGAGGCAGGGAACACATTTAACAGATCTTTTTCAAGTAAATAAAAAGCGTCTTGGTTTTTGATTGTGCTCAAAAGATGAAGAAGATGATGCAAATGTGCACAAGGCAATTCAGCATTGCCCCATTTCTTTACCATTTACCATCAGTGATTGAACTGGCACATTTTGACACCTGAAGAAGGGGTGAATTTCCAGCTGCACCATCTGGAATATCTGTATGAGAAGCCAGATGCAAAGAGCAGTACTGAAGAAAAGCACTTTATAATCCCACTACCATGCTCCCTTCACTCCCTTATTCAACCCCTTCAGCTGAGGTACTACTGAGAGACAAAGAAGTGCAACAGATTTGAGGAGAAAAACAGAAGACAAATTCTTGAGTCCAGCAGGAGCTGCTGAGACCTCTTCTCACCCCCAACAGAAAACCCAGTGTTTCTCACATCACAGGTGAGACAAATGCTGTGTCTTTTACTACAATTTCAAAATAACCACAGGCAGCTAAAACTGCAAGAAAATATCCCCTCCTGCTGCTCAAGTTCCCCAAATCAACATAAGTTCTCCGTGAACCTTGCCAGATGAGTTTGACCAAGTCACATAAACAAAGTGAAAGACAATTCCCAAAGAGACTGTATATTGTGCAGCTTAAACAGAAGCAGCATTTCAACACTGCTATTTAACATTAAACACTAACATCTATCCTTGTTAGAAATCTGTATTCTTGCTAATAAAAAAGAAAAAACAACATTCCTTTATAGAAGTGAAATGCACATTTTGATCTTTGACTATATTTATAGAAGGCCATTTACTTTCAGTGACCCCACACAAAAAAATTCAATCCCACCAACAATGCACTTACCAACACTACTGTCATCTCAATACTCTGATGTTAAATCTACTCCCTGCTAGGGAAAAACCAAAGTGGTGGACAAAGGAGGGCAGTGACAGGCTGGGCAACACCAAAACCTGTCTCTAGGCTCTAGGCTGTGCTCACACAATGCTTTGTCTCATGCCAGTGAGGTAGCTGATCGTTCTATTGCCATGTGCATCAACACACCAACCCCTCTAACATGTGGTATGTGGAGAGCAGGGTGAGGTCAGCCATCACCTGAACCACAGGCAGCAAAGACCTGCTGTCCCATGCCTTATGCTGGAGAGGAGAGAGGAAGGGTGCAGTCTTCAGGGATTCACCCCAACCCTTCCCATCACTAGAAGGCCAGGGCCTTTGGTGGGGTTCACTCCTACACAGGCATCTCTGCATGTTCAGCACTGTGCTTCATCCACTGGGGCACGAGGGAGCCTGGCAAGGGTTGAAGGAGGGAGACAGACAGGGTTGGGAAAGCTCGAAAATGAAAGTTTTAAAATATACAAAATGTAACACACTGGAAAAAGTTTAAAAGTTGCAAGACAAGAAAGGAAAAGAAAGAAATATATGAGGTGAGGAGAAAGGGCTGGAAGATGGTGGGAGAAGACTCCAGCTCGGGACAAGGGGCAGGTCTAGTCTACACAGCACTACTCCCTCTGGTAGCCACTCAGTTCCACGTCATCCTTGCGGCGCCGCTGCGCGAAGAGGGAGCTGAAGGGGTAGAGCTTGGCCTTGGCCTGGAAGCGCTGCCCGGCAATGTCGATCTCGAACTCCCCCTGGTTGATGAAGTCAGTGGTCACCACCAGCTCCTCTCCCGTCTGCTCGTCGAAGTGGTGCACGAAGCCCAGGCACACGTGGCGCTCCAGGGTGTAGCTGTAGGCACTGCTGGTGGTCTTGCCCACGTAGCGGCCGTTGCGGAAAATGGGCTCCCCCCACCAGGGCCAGAGGTCCATATCCGTGTCATGGTCCTCGAGAATGAACATGGTAAAGCGCTTGTACACCCCGTTCTGCTTCTGTTCCAGCAGCACTTCCTGGCCAAGAAACTCCATTCCCTGTGGGGAAAAGGGAGCATCAGCTGATGTGAGGGACACAAAGTGTGGCAGCTGCTCAGCTGCAACAGAACAGGTTGCCTATAAGGGCAATTTATGCCCTATCAAAATGGACTGCCTCCATACACAAGAAGCCCAGCTCAGATAGCTTTTCTGTCATGTTTGTTGCTCCAGATGTTAAAAGCACACAGAAATGTTTGTGTAGTTGGTCATTAAAAAAAAAAAAATTCTAATTTTCACTCTAGCGAAAATCATGTCTCCATTCCAGTTTTTGTCATTTTTCTTGTTCCGGAAGACTACCCTTCTTTATAAACCAGAGGGAAACTGTCACTTATATGAAATTTATGTCCTTAGTCATTATATTCTTTTCTTGCATCAATACAATCATTTGTTTTGGCTCATGCAAAGATGGAAGAAAGAAAACAAGACGGTGATAGCAACAGCACCTGCTACCACAAAAGCGTGATATAGCTCTACACTGTTCTACAAACTCCCCTCTTTTATTAAAAATAGAGAACACCTGTTATTGGTGCCTAGTCTCATATTTAACATCATTAAATGACACCAGGTGCACAGGCTGGCTTTTGCTTCATCAGATTAGGAAAACAGTTTAGAGAAGCAAGAATTTGAGCATCTGTAAGGTACAGAGCACCTCTGCCACACTGGGCACTGCACACATAAGCAGCATCAGGCAGAGGTCACTGGGAATGCTGCCTTGGTAGGAGGAAAACAGAGCATTTTTGTATTTCTAGCAGCCTGCTGAAGTACAAGAATATGTTACACCTACTGCACACAGCTCCATAAAGACACATCCATCTGCTTGGCTGGCAGCCTTTCAGTCCAGTTCTGCTCTCCCACCAAACCCTGTGCAGAAGGTGGTGTACCTTATCCAGCTTGACCTGGAACTCGCGTCCACACTCCATAGGAGTAGTAAAAGCATCCAGATCCTGGCCCCAGAAGGCAAAGAACTTCTCAATGCGCAGGCTGCGGAGCGCGTAGTAACCGGCGTTCCGGATGCCGTACTTCTGCCCCATGTTCATCACCTCATTGTACACGTGCAGGGCGTACTGCAAGGGAAGGGTGAAACACACACTGGCACCAGGAGAGAGCAGCAGCATCTGGCACCACCAGGAATGCCACTGTCCCCTGCCACTGAAGCACCAGAGCTCTGCTCCACTGGAATGCAATATTAAGCGGAAAAACTCCCCCTGGTGCCTGCAGGCAGCTTTCCTGTGGTGCAAATCAGACATCTCATCACCTGGAGTCAACTTGGAAAATGTTTCCGATTTATGCATGCAAGCAATTGCTTTAATTAGCTCAGGCTGCAGTGCACTCTTACCTCTATGGGGATATAAAGCACGAAGCCAGGTTCTCCTGTGTGAGTGATACTCATGACACGGATGCCATTAGCATAGCCCACGCTCATCTCCTGCAGAATCAGAGGGGGTGAAATCATCCAAACTGGAACACAGCACACAGATCCAGAAGGAGCACAATGCATAACACATGCACACTGCCCAGACCTCTCTCCCCTTTGCCACCTGCACATACTCGCAACAAATTTAAATTTCCAATTCAAATAGTGATGTCACGTTATCCAAACTTGTTAGTCATTTCTTGACACTTGGCAACAAGCCCTGGAACTAGGTCAGGACACAGGTTGTATTCTAGATACAAGACAGAGGTTGAATAGCAACTATCTGCTCAGCCTTTAAACAGGCTGATAGGAGACAATGATGCCAGAGTCTCCAATCCCAGCTGCCCCTCTGACAGCTTCATAATTGATTATATGAAACACGTCAAGATATCAAATGGTGACAAGTCTACAGTGAGAGGAATACTAAAAACAAATGCATATTCACCTATGTATTTAGAAAACACAATCCAAAGACAAGTGAGCCTAGAGTTCTTTACCAACCTAGCTCAGTAACTGCAGTAAACCTTCCTGTAAATCTTAATTCTCCTCCAATTATCCAAAATACTTTTCCTGTCCTTCCACCCATGCTTTGAAAAACCTAGCAGAGTGAGAACAAAAGAAGTCACTCACCTTGCAAAAAAGAGAGGGGAAGTGTTCTGCAGTCATTGGGGCATAGGACAACTCTGACAAGACATCCACAGCACGGGGGCCAATCAGATTGAGAGCTAAAGAGGGGAACAAAACAGCATTAGGATGAGACTGGAGAAGTCTTGCCTAGTGTCTAACATGCTGCTCCAATTCTGAAATCTTATCAAACCAATAGGTGTGTTTACATTTAAGAATAGAGGAGAAAGTCATTAAACTCTCTCCTGACAGCCCAAAGTAAAAGAATGCTGTCTTCTAGCTCATGGTTTGCCAGAAAAGAGTCTCTGAACTGCTGTTTTCACCTAAATGTTCGGAAAGGAGACTAAATCGCAACTCCAGGCACTTTAAACAACTAACTGGCATGCAGCAGGAGACACCATTTGTGATTTTGAGCTGTCTGAGGAGGTCTGCTTTTAGTGATTTCTTACCTGTGTACTTCCAGGTCACATCCTCTAGGACCAGGTTGCTGTCATCAGGCAGGTGGTTCTTCAGCCAGGCCCAGCAATGAACTTGTTGGTCAGTAGGGGAAATCATGAAGAAGCTGGAACAGACAAATCAAACCCAAGAAACAATGAAAGAACAACCACAAAGTGAATCAGCTCATTCTTCATTCATCAACTACTTGAGCCATTCAGCAGTTTCCAGGCTAACAGAAGATCAAAACAAGCTGGTTTGTGAAAACCACAACTCAAGTCTCTGGATCAATGCCATTACATCTGTCATGAAAAGAAATCCCCCACTTCAAGCATTACCAGTGTCTGGCGACAAGAAGTGACTACATGTGGAACACAGGGAATTCTGCAGGAAGTTGACAGATTATCTCAAAGGTCACAACTGATTTGAAAAAGGGACTTGCAGCTTTTCACTACCAGTGACTCTCTTTACTCTGACAGTCAGAGTAGAGATGGCTCACACAGCAATTTCTTGTTTTAGCAGAAGTCTTTTCACACACAATGGTGGTTATTATTAACAGCTTCCAAAAACAGAACTCCACTTGATATGGAAAAATGAGCTGCTTGTGTGTGTGTCTGATACAAACTGTGAATTAAAGTACATCAACATCTGTAGAAATCACTAGGCAAGGACAGAAGCTACTGGTATCACAGAGAGGACAATACTTTCAAGCAATACATGAATGCAGACAGAAGTGGAAGAGAAAGAAAAGCTGTTTCTAATTGAAAGAGAAGCAACAAAATGCTTTCACACCAACACAGTGAAAACACACATAGAAAACCATCCAGAAAAATAAATCCAACACTCAGCTGGGACATGGCTATGAAGTTCTTAAAAGCAAGAAAGCTTTCACTGGATGCCAAAGAGAGCCCAAACTGGTGAGTCTAAGGGTAAAATCCTGTGATCATGTCAGCTTGCATGAGAGAGCACAAAAGAATGATAAAAGACTGCAGAACTGAGAATTAGAGTACATATACTGCAATGAAAATTGAAATAATCAAAAAGCAGTATTTTCAATGCATAATTCTAGTAAGGACATTGGTCAGGAGTTAGTTTGCACTTTAAAAGGTTACCTAAATTAATAAACTCCAGTGATTGCTAAAAACAATTTATATCTCAATTAAGAAATTAAACTTCTAAAGGTCTAACATTTTGAGGAAATCTATTTTCATCTGTAATCTTGGAAAAAGGCTTATTTTCCCCAATGTTTTTAAGTTCAGAAACTCCCTTTCACTTGAGTTACTGAATTAGGAATACTAGTGGAGAAGTGAGACTTTTTAGCTCAGGGTGGTGATGAAAGTATATGGTCTTCATGAAGAAGCCCTTTAAGGCTCAAACATCACAAGGGTGATGGCTAAAGATGCTGTCTGCACACCCACCTGCGCTTGCTGAGCCGGGCTATGCTGCAGTCATTCTCATACCCTCCTTTCTCATTAAGCATTCCTGTATGCACAACATGCCCAACTGGCACATCCAGGTCATTTGAGAAGAGATACTGCAGATTCTCCAGGGCCTGGTCTCCGGTGGACTACATGAATCAAAAGGAAGAGAAAGTCAGACAAGCTGCCTGAGCAAAACAAATCCACTGGGGCAGCTTAAGATCGCATCAACATCCTGGCCTAAATTATTTCAATTTGTGATGATTGTGACACTGACGTCTCGAGCGTAACAGGACACAACAGTGCCACAGTGCCGGAGGTCAAATTCTATGTACAGACTAAGCTGATATTTCTATAAACTGGGCCCTTGGCAGACAAAACCCAAACTGTGCTAAATACTGTGGTACCACCTGAATTTAGCCATACAGTGTGACTTCCTCTATCTATCCTCAATAGGACACCGAGTTTTTCGCAAAAGCGGACAATAATAAACTAAAGGTCACCTCTACCAGGTGGTCCCTTTCTAGGTACTTACACTTATTTCAAACTTGGTAAAAGATGACATGTCAATAACACAAACTGCTTCCTTACAGCACTTGACTTCAGCACCCACAATATCAAACCAGTCTGGTTTGTAAAAGGTTTTGCTGTGATCCAAATCCAGCAGATCTAACACAAAGAAAAATTAAAGGCAAAATTATTAAACTGGATGAATTAAGACCTTACAGAGACCAATTGGGAAGCACTAGGCAGAGGAAAATATGATCTTACCACTCCCAGGCGGGACAAAATACTTGACTCTCTCAAATCCATGCTTCTCCATCCACCGGGCTCCCTGCGCGTCCAGGCGGTCGTACAGAGGTGACGTGCGCAGCTGCCGGCCAGTCTGGAAGTCCCAGCGGGGAACCTTCAGATCATACATGAGGGCTGCAATGGTCATAAGGATCCTTTATTAGGCAAAGTGATTATCTTTATCCAAACTTCTCTTCCAGATTATCAGTACTCATTAATATCTGAACCATTAAAAAACTCCCTCAAAACAGCTCCAACCTTCCTTTTCCTGGTTTTGAAAATCCACAAATCCGTTTTGATCCATTTATAGCTCTTCAAAATCAGAGTAACAATATTTGCACAGAACACTTATATTTATAGATACTTATGGTCTCATGACAGTTCTGCAAGAACAACAAAAACTCTATTTTTCATGAAGTCATGCTGACTAGCATTAATTATGCAGGATTCTTCCCTGGCAGTGCACTATATCAGGTATTTTGACAATGCTAATGCTGGGGTAGAGAGCGCATAGATACAAGGACCATCTCATTTGCCTTCTTAAATAATGGCAATTCAGCCTTTTGTAATCATTGAAGCTTTTCCAAATGGCTTCTCTGTCTGTTCAGCTATTATAGAATATTTTTATTTAGAAAACAAGTTACCCTAAAACATTAAGCATCCTCCTCAGTTATCAGTGGAGAGTAATAACTTAATATTTATAAAGTAGTATTCAAGCATTCTTAAGATTCTACCTAGGTCAGAAACTGTTTAAAACTGAAGATAAGCCAACTAACTCTTACTGAACACTTCCATAATTTCTGTCTCATAGCTAACAATTTAATGAATTTATTGACAATATCTCAAATTGGTACTCCTGAAAGAGAGGGTATTGGGAAGACTAGATTAGCATGGGAATGTAACACTTCAAAAAGGGAATACATTGTTCACTCTGTAAAAACTACAGGGATACTGTGCCTATCAGAACTGAGGTTTGTATTGGAAAGCGACTGCAGAATAATGCCCAGAGTATAAAGTGATTTTTTTCTGGGAAGAAGGTCAAAGCAGCATAAGGTTTTTATTCCCCAGATACAGCAGGGCTAAGAGGTTTACTCAGCTTCTCTGCTTTCACCCGAGCATATGTTTTTAGTTTAGACTTGGTATTCAAGTAATTGTTCCTGTTATGCAACTTGCGGAGCACTTCATGCTTCTATTTCGAACTTGAAAAGAAGTCATCAATATTCAGACAATATGACAGATATTAAAACAACAGGAGGTAACAAAGCATGGCTTTAGACAAGAAAAATGGCATCTCTAATCTATTCTGCAAGGTGTTTATCACAAACTTTGACAGGAGAAAGCACTATGTCTACGAAGACTTCTGAATTATACAAGATAACTGGGTCACCCAGCCATAAGTTGGAAGTGAAGGTATTGCCACACAGTAATGATGTGCAAAGAATAACAATCTTTGAGACAGTGTAACATTCCCAGTTAAGACCTTGGCATTGCTTTTTTAGGCTGAAATTCTACAGAGATACATACAAATTTCCCTATATCAGAGGCAAAGCACAGAAATAGCAGAGAGCAAGGTACCAACAGCATTTTTTTAGAAAAGTTAATAAGAATGCTTGCACAAAAAAACCCCTCATCATTTCCTCTCTCCTGGGAAGAGGCTGCATTGCCAGGAAGGGGGTCAGGAAGAAGGAAAATGTTTCTCAGAGTGATAGCAGAGGAGAGACAGTGTAGCAAAGGGCAAAAACTTGGACAGCCTGTCCAGAGCTAAACACAGAGACCTCACTTACGCATGACTTCCATCACACGGTGGCGGAGGAAAGTGCGGCTGCTCTGAAGGGTTCCAAAACGTTTCAGATCCAAGGGCCAGACATTTTCCGACGGATACCCATTTACTATCCACTCTGCCAGGTACCTGATGGAAGAAATAAAGACAGACTGAGATATCAGCCAATGTCTTAAGGGAAAAGTGTAGCTCTGAAGTAAGAAGGAAAGCAGTTTGGACTTGAGAATTTCTTACAATAGCAAGAGAGAAGACATGTAACACGGTATTCTAAATACTAGCAGAATCTGGAGAGTTTCCCTTTGTAAAATGCACCCACCAGATTTCTAAATTACTAATTGCCCATTAGGATGAAGCATACAGGGCAGCAAGAAGTTCAGGACATGTGCTAAATTAAGCCAGAGCCTTGACGGGTAACCTGGCTGACACTGTGTCAAGTGCTTGGGTTCTGATACAAAAAAAGGTGCAAATTCATTTCAGATGGAGTTTAGTGTTTCTGCTTTCTTATTTCTCATTGCCTGTTGTAGGCTCAGCCACAAACTACCACTGACAGCATTCATTTAGCACGAGGGGCCAGCCAAGTTATGTTTAGCTACACTTCCAGCAGTGAAGGAGGAAGGCATTCTCCAGAGCTAATGGACACAGGCAACTCAGAATTTAGAAGAGCAAAAGGTTCTGTTCACAGCCAGCAGAGAACAAAACAAAGGGGTTTGGAACTGATCATGAAAAGTTACATTAGCAAGCTAAACTGTTTATTTTGGGACTGTAGCAACAAATGAACAAACAGTGCTTTTACCTCCAGAAATGACTTTGATTCTTAAGAGAACCTCACTGAAAAGATTCTCTGTATTTCATGTGACAACAAAAAAATAATTATGAGTTGTTTCTCTGGTGAGTTAAACTATTAGACAATAGACAAATTAGTGAAGACAAATGTAGATACTAACACCAGCATGAAAAACAAGCAGTTCTTTAAGAAGGTTGTGTGGCAGAAGGAATGCTCAGTCACCAAAATTAAATGGCAGTCAGAGGGAGAAATGATCGTTCAGCAACTTTGCTGCTGAGATCACATTTAAATGCTTGTCTAAGAATCTGCATTTACACAGGAACTGGATTTTCCTGAGAAATTATTACACCCCTAGCTTACTGTAGGGGACAGTCTGAAACTACTGTCAGCAATGGCATCACATACATGGTGTTTCATCAGCAACAGATTCACACTGCTTTCAGAGGAATTAACTGCTGTATCAATTTGATTGATCTAAAGACTTCAATCAAATGATAAAGGGGATCATGAAGCATAGGAGATGAGGGAATATATGCTTTGCTAAGCTTTTAGCTTTACCATCTCTTAGTGGTAGTTTAAAAAAAAAAAAACCATACCAGTTATAGAATCATAGAATCACAGAATAACCTGAGTTGGAATGGATGCACATGTATCACTGAGTCCAACTCCTGGCCCTGGACAGGATAACCCCAAGAATCACACCAGGTGCCTGAGACCATTGTCCAAATGCTTCTTCAACTCTGGCAGGCTTGATGCTGTGACCACTTGCCTGTTTCAGTATCCAATCACCTTCTGGGTGAAGAACCTTTTCCGAATATCCAACCTAAACCTCCTCTGACATAGCTTTAATGAAGCTTACTTGATCCCCAGCTGCTCAGTGAGATGTGATGCCAGAGGAGAGATGTGCAGGACAGGAGGAGAATCCAACACAGGTTTTAAAGACACACTGGAGAACATGATCAGAAAACAGCAACTGCTCCTCTCCTTCACTCAGGTCAGAAATGAAAGAGGAGCCTTTATCAGAGGAGATGACAAATACCAACCAGAACATTCTACATAGGAGGATTATCTGTGCAGTGTCTTGGCTGAAGCCTTACTTACACACACACAGAGATAGACCACTTACTTGCCTGCTCCCCCACCATAGGAGATGCCAGCTGAGTTCATGCCAGCCAGAACAAAGTAGCCTCGTGCAGTGGGCGACTCTCCCATGATGCATCTCATGTCTGGGGTGAAGGACTCTGGGCAATTCACCAACTGCATGATCTGCAGAGCCTCCAAACCCGGCATCCTGCGCAGGAGGGCACTCAGAAGTGGCCCTAGGAACCAAGAAAAAAACAGTCTCAACACATTTCAGCTGCTTCAGGTGGAAACTGCTTTCATGTTTTGATAGTCACAGGAGAAATGGCTTATTTGCTGGAATTACACTACTCAAAATAGATCACACAGCCTACAATAAAAGCAGCCATATTGATCCAGACCAAGAGCCCAGTATTATTTTCAACAGTGCAAGGGCACTGTTCAGTTTTGTTGGGGAAATAGGAGCAGACATCAAATAGATACATAGTGAGGAGTACAAACAGGCAAATGTATAGGAGCCTTGTCACATGCACTCTGCAAACCTCCACCTATCATCAGCTCAGAGGATTTCCTAAAAATTTGGTATATTTTTCTGTATTTAGAAACTCATAAATTGGTCTCTCTTTTAAGTACTAGACCAGTGTTTCCCAGCCTCATGAAAAAAATCTAACAGACACAGACAAGGAGTCCCATGTGTTAAAATCTGTTGTATGAGGAATCACTGCCTTTTGTTTCAAAGCTCACACTCAATTTCTTTTTATGTCTCCTACCATTAGAAGAGACAGTGGTCAGGAATCCCCCTTCTAGCCTGTCTATCCCACTCCAGATTCTATAGACCTCTATTTCCTTTCTGTCATCTCCTTTCCCCAGCCCTCTCAGTCACTCCATTCCTGGAAACTATTCCAAGCTTTGATAAGTCTCTTGCTGCTCTTCCACCAGACCTTCTCCAGTCCTATGATACTCTGTGGAAAGAGGGAGCCTAGAACAGGAACTAGCATCTGGCAAAACAAGGATTTAGTGTTGCATAATGAACAGTGTTTTCTGCTCCTTTCCCAGTAATTCCTAACTTGTCTTTTGCTTTAACCGCTGCTGCACTGATGCCTTCACAGAACTAACAAAACTAATACAACCCCTCAAGGTGTGTTCAAAGCCCATCATGTCACATGGTGAAAACAAGACCATCCCCACACACACCCATGCATTTGTGTCACTTCACATTTATCCTCGTTGGATTTCCTCATTGCTTCACTGCCCAGTCACGCTGGAAAAGTCCTTCAGCAACTCTTCACAGTCTGACATTTGAGAGCATTAATAAATGGATAAGGTATCTACTTGGCTTTTGTTGCCCAAAAGTTACCTCTGCTTAGTACTCCAGATAAAAGCCCTCAAGAACACTCCTGAGCTTTATGCACAAGCAGTAAAATCATCAGATTTCACATCACCTAAGAAGCTACAAACAGAACTGACCCATTCTCTCTCTTCCCTCTCTCAAGCATTAGGATTCCAGAATGAGAGCCTGGTGGTACAGGCTATTTTTCTATTGATAAAAAGAGAGATCAGTGCTAGATTTGTTCTCCTATCTAGCCCAATTTAAGCAACTCCACGGACTATTTTAAAATCAAAAGGTGTTCCAACGACAAAGATCAAAGCAGTAATACAAGAGCTCAAACCCCAGGAACTGTGGCCCTAGAAAAGGATCAAATACTGCCTGAGTTAGCTCTGACTCTGCTCAACTGTTCAGCACATTTGAACGGATAAAAGGGCAAAGCTGGAACATAGCATGCAGCTGCTTCAGAAGCTTGGGCAATCTGGGGGTGACAGCAAGCAGTGCCTTTTCATTTTATCCAAATGAAAACCAAAAATGAAGTGGGTGCAGAGCTTGAGCGACTCATTACTGAAGCTAATATCTTCAAGCAAGTCTTTAGGCATCTAGGGATCTAAAAACCTTTAGCATATGCCAGCACAAAACAGCACCCCATCCTGGCTTCACCCCCTGGAGTTTAAACTTTTACAGTATCAGTATGTGTCTTCCAGAAATCGAAGTAAAATTATTCAAGTTAACTTGAAGCACAGCTGGAAGAACATATTATGACTGCAGAAAGAAATCAGTGAAATTCCATCCATGCCTAGGGTCACAGAGGCATGTGTATTCACAAGGGATGCAGAGAGCTCTGACAGAAGGGAAATCTGGATTCCTGAGTACAAGGCAAATTTGAAGATGAGAGGGCACATACCAACTTACCAGGTATCAAAGAGACAGGAGTGGCTGGGGAAGAAAGGGACTCACAGATCATGCTACGCTCTTTCCTAGAGAAAGAGCCCTCCATGTAAAAATACATGCAGAATATAAACTCAGAATCAAATAAAATGAGAAAGACAGAAGAGTTGGAATATAATAAACCACTGTCAATAGTGGGACAAAGTCTGGGAAGCCACAATACCAACTTCTGTCCACCAAGCAACTGCCACTGATAGAAATGCACTTGTCAGTCCCTGATGGAGAGCTGCAGAAATAAAATACCACAGCTATGTGGCAGGTCAACAGTGCTGATCTACTGTGTCACAAGAGGAGCAGCATGTGGCACTGACAGTCAACAACTGAAATGGCAGAGCAGTGCTAGGAAGCTGATGTAGTACCTTGCTGCTCTAGAGGAAGGTAATACATGCTGAAGATTAGAAGGTGTTTTTAAACATTACACATATATCAAAGAATCACAGAATTCTGGAATGGTTTAGGTTGGAAGGGACTTTAAAGTTTATCTCATTCCAACCTTGGCATGATGGGGACACCTTCCACTAGACCAGGGTGCTCCAAGTCCCATCCAACCTGACCTTAAACACTGAGCAACTTGTGCCAGTGCCTCATCACTCTCACAGGGAAAAATTTCTTAATAATACCTAATTCTGCCCTCTGTCATTTGGAAGCCATTTCCCCTTGTTCTAGCACTCCCTGTCAAAAGTCCCTCTCCAGCTCTCCTGTAGGCTCCCTTCAGATACTGCAGCCCTTGGTAAAGGGTTTTTCAGCAAATTACTGACAAATGAAGAGATGAGTGAACTTGAGAGCACATTCATCTTTCCCACACATCAATGACAGCTGGCACTGCCATGAACTCTGCCTTCTGCTGAAGCACGTGTTTCACTGCTGTGGGAACCTCTCTTCCCTAACATACCAAAATGATCCCAGTCTTCCTGAAGGTTCTGGATCTCCAGCTGGTTCCGTCCCTCCGTGAAGAGAGGTTTGGGGTTTTTCTCAAAGCCTCCTGAGAGGATGCCACCCTGCCAGTTGCGTATGTAGATCCTGCCATCGGGGTCCACAACAGCTGCAGAGGGAAGGGAAGAGGTGAGAAGGGAATTGAGAGAAGGGATATCTGTCTCAGGCTGTTGTCCCACAAACACCACTGATGGAGGGCTAGTGACACGCCAGGCCAAGCCAGCAGTCACCCAGCATGAGAAGGGACAGTCTCAGCTCCCCAGCCCCATGCTGTCACACCATTCTGGTTCTCATGTGACACCCCTGTGAGCCAGTTTAGATTAAACCATTAGCTCCCACCACAGCCATGCAGGATTGTTAACTTCTGGACAGCACAGTAAACTGAATTAAACCTGAGGAGCCCCAGCAGGACAGTGTTCCCAGGAGTGAGAGGACACAAGAGGGATTCAGAATCCTTGTGGCACTGAGAAGCTATTACACTTGGCAGCTATTATACTGCCTTAGTTCCACTGAAACTGCACCCAAGACCAGCCCTTCCACCAAGACATGTCCAACCCTGCCCTTCTTTCTCTTCCTATTCTAAGAACAGCTAATTTGTATCAGATCCAGCTTACAGCAGGCCACCAGCACAAAGAAGGTGGGCAGCACTGGGGTGAGGACAAGCACCAGTCAGGACTGGATTGCTCCTTCCACTGGTAGGTAGTGTGCCAACTTGAAGTATTTATGTTACTCTACCTGACATGCTCCACAGCAATTTTTGCCATGTTCAGAAAAGCTGAGAATACACATATGTGAATATATACATACATGTATCTATATATATCTACACACAGAGGTTTTAATTCATCAAATAAAAGTGTAGCACTTGGACTCCATCCAGAGATCTCAATTCCCTGGACAGTGTATCCATTACTCACTAGAAGCCAAAAATCTTGCCAACAACTGAGAGTAAATAAGTAAAGCTTTCTACTTCTCAACCACAGTTTTCAAACACAAAGGCTTTTTTTTAAAAGATCAAAAAGCTAGAACATGGGGGAGGAGCAATTACCTCAAGTGTTTGGTTGCCCCTACAGCTCATAGACATGTAAATGCCATTGTAAAGCCTTAGCTTCAGTTGGAGGAAAGGAATAGATGGGCCATTTGGGGCCAGCAGCCTGCAAGGAAAACATAGTGCCAAGGCTAGCACACTCTCCAGCCCAGAAATGCAACAATCCAAGACTCAGGCACAACTACTACTCGAGCTAGAGTCAAGGTCATTCTCCTGCTAAGCTGATGAACTCTCAAAGTCATTTTCTGCAGGAAAAGTTTCCCCAAGAGTAAAGAAAGATATTCTTTCTACCACTGAAAAAGGATATTCAAAGCAATTCAGACAGAAGAACTTCACAATCCCAAATGAGCTGAGGACCGATAGCCCGAGGTTGGCCTTTTTGTCACAAAATACAGGTCACCTTGGAAAGGCAGGTATAATTCACCAAGAAAAGTGAGAAGAGCTGAAGAATCCTTACTTGGTAAGCTGCTTGACAGAGGCTCCTGCAAAGGATGTGTCAGGAGGTAGAAGTGTTCGCAGGCATGGACTGGGATATGGACTGGTTCCTCCCCAGAGTGGCCCAACTCATAGGCCCACTGAAACCAAAAAAGTGCAGGTCAGGATGGAAAAGGAAAAAAACAAAACAGCTTCAGGAAAAGAGCAGGACATAAGCACCTCTCTGATTTTGCTTTCATAAAAGACCAAGATTTGGTTCAGACCCTGGGACATTAAACAGACAATTTTTTTCTCTTTTCTTAGAATTTGAACAGTTTTGGATAAAGACTAGAAAAGTGGGGCCCCAATTCAAAACTAAGAAGTACCAGTTTACAAAACAAAAGCAATATAAGATCTGTAGACCAAGTCAGTACTAGGTTCAGCACCTAGAAGCAGAATAGTCAGCATTTAGGTGCCTGAACTAAGATCCTTCATTAACAAGGGGGACAGCTGCTAGCTGAGAAACTGCAATTATCAGGTGCATTTTCTAGCAGAGAAGACATCACACTAAGGAGTAAAAACAAACAAATTTTTCATGAGGGAAGTGAGAAAGAAGGGTCTGTCTCCCTAACAGCCAAAGCAAAATTCTTCCTGTCAGAAGGGTGAACCTCCCAGCAGAGAGACCATGGACAGAGCTGTACCAACAAGCTGCAGGTACTGCTCAGCAGGTCAACACCCAGCCTCTGGTGCGCTGCAAATAGCAAGCACTGCTTTTCCTCCTCATCCTGCTGGGTGGGTAACATGATGAGTAACATGATTTGATCTACTCCAGCAAACCAAGCCAAAGCACAAACCATTAAAAATCCCAAAAGGAAAACAACAAAACCAAAAAAAGAACCAGAGGGAAGTGCACGTATTCTTAATCAACAGAAACAAGAAAGAAAAGATTTAAATAATTCAACCTGGCCAGCACAGTTGACGAAGAACTCGCATTGAATCCTTCCTCTGTCAGTCTCGACTCCGGTCACTCGGCCCTTCTGGATCGTGACATGACTGACACTCGTCCGCTCGTGGATCTGGACACCTGCAGTGGATCACAAAGTCAGCATGCCATGAGCCTTCTTTCTAATGTGTCAGACTGCTAGCTTTAAACCCTTACACTCAACCAAAATGCTTATTTTCTCTTGGAGACAAAATTTCTATTCTTGACCCAGTAATTCTTAAGCAAAACCCTATTATTTGTAAAACATCACATGTACAATTTGTACAGGCTGAGACTGTGAAGAGCTACAGTTTATCTTCCCATGTGACAATCTGGGTGATAAATAGATCCCCAGGATCAACAACATAAAAAAAAAAGTCCCAGCTATGGACTTCTTTCTATTACAATTCCTTTATGCAATAAATTTGTAGTTTCAGATGGCATGACTGGTTCTTTTATGGGAAATAAGTAATTTTGTGGGGAAAAAAAAATCAATAAGCAGTATGCGATCAACCTGGGCTAAAAGAAACTGAGAGGTATCTTCCTAAGCAGCTTCTTCTGATCTGATGGACTTTCATCCTTACTGATCTTTATTTCCTGTTACCTTATTTAACCTTTCCCCTGACTTTTAAACCACACACTGGTCAAACAGCATTTATTAATACACTTCCAAACCTATTTCCAAAGCACATGTACTCAATTAAATACTCTACAAGGCTCAGCCACTCTTTTTCATTTGTAGGTAATTAACTGTTTTGATGTGTAATTATGAGTCAATTCTAGGAAGGAAAGAGTGCATGCTTTTTCAGAGAAATATGTAACCACTAAGGACAACAAACAGGTGTAAATATGTAACCACTATGGACATCAAAGAGGTGCTTGAACTATCCCAGGAAACCTGTAAACATTCAGCACATAAAAAAAATCAGCCTGCTTTTTCAGAATAAACAGGTTTAAAGAATCCAAGCTTCACAGAAATAAGAGAATTTTGGTCTTCAGGGCTCAGTTAGACTATCAAAAGAGATGCAAACACAGCTATCATGCAGGAGAGCACTCTATAGATAAAAAAAGCTCCTACCATTCCGTGAGGCAGCGGTTGCCAGAGCCAGACTCACGTTGGCAGACGACACGAGTGCATCTTCTGGCACATACATGGCCCCCACAAGGTCATGGATGTTGATCAGTGGGTGGAGCTGTGCCACTTTCTTTGGGCTGATAATTTCACATGGTATTCCCATTACACTGCCACAGAACACAAGAAACACGAGGTCATTTGCCCTGCAGGAGAGCTGGTGCACACAGAAGCTGAGTTGGATTTCCTGCTCATACGTACTTCAGCGATGAAGCAATGCGCTTCAGAGAGATCAGTCGGTCCTGAGTCTGAGCCAGGGAAATAGAGCCTGTCTTCATGTACCCTATGACAATGACCAAAGTCAAGTCAGATTTGGACAGGATCTTCAATTCCTTTCCATCTCAGACTCACTGCTTTAATATAATTGCAGACTTGTTGCTTCCACTACTCAGGAGCCTGGAAATCTCACATCCTCAAACAACTTTAAACACTTATGAGCTAGTAATTAAAAAGTGCATGAGAAAACTTTTTCAAAAAAGCAGTTGAATTTTTAATTGTGTTCTCTTTCTACTTCATATACTCCATATTCTTTTATACTGTTTATAAAAAAACCCCTGAATTTCACACATGGTAGCTATTAAAAGAGAGAGAAGTTGAAAGTGATCTACTGACTACTCAGAAGAATAAAACTTCATCAACTAAAAGCAGATATAATATCACTCCAACACCTGCACTAAATTAGTATTCATCTTAATTGCAGGCATAGTTATGAACCTCTATTGAGGTATTCATTTGTCTGACATACATGGCAAGTTCTTATCAGAAGAAAACTTCTAGTGATCAAGTTCTTCCTATCAGGTACATGCCCAGACATTTTGGAGGGAGAGGGAGAATCTAAACATAATATTTTTTGTTATTTTCAGGGCTAGACTGCAGTAAGAGACACAGCTTTGCCTATGCTTCAGTGCTTCTGTTAACCACATTTTCTTTTTGAGAAGTGAATCAGTGCACAGAACAAGCCAACTTGCTGCAGCCACTGCAATATATTTTCCATGTCCTTGTGAAAATTCCCTTGTCTGCTCAAGTTACAGACAATGTGCAAACTGTCACAATTTGCAGGTAGTCTGCCTTCAGTTTGCCCATCTGATATTCTTCTCCCCATTCTGATTACACTGGTGACATCACTTTGCATCTGATTAGCTCCATATGTATTGTCTTTGAACAGGACTTTCAAGCCTTAAGATGCTGTAAAACCACAGACAGTGTGGTTTTATTGCTTATTCACACATATTTCAGTGTCAGTACTTCAGTTTCCCAAAGATTACTCCATTCTGGCACTTTCAGTACCTGTTTGCACTCCTGTCTCCTGTTCCAGCTGCTGGTAGAGCTTGTTTGAATAGTGTGCCATCTTCAGCTCTATGGACATGGGCCTGGCTGTGCTCACAATGCCAGCACAGAATCGAGTGGTGCCTGCAGCCAACCTGCAGGAGAAGGTGCAGAGAAGGGCCATGATCACACAGCTGCCAGGTACACACTCCACACCAGGCTTCTCCAGCAGCACAAACCACACAGCAACTTCTCCCCCAAACACATCAGAACTACACTATGCTGGACGATGCAGGGCTGACACAACCTCTAGAATGATATTCCTTTCACTCACTTTTGAAAACACACTGCATTCCAGGACAATTTCTCTTTAACAAGTCCTAAAAACTGACATTTTTCAAAAAAAGCACTTTTTGTAAAACAAAAATAAAATCTTACACTTCAGTTGAGCTGCCTGATTCTTTCCTTCTCCAAAGTACGATTTCCATCAAATAAAAATTAACTTGGTTTTGAGTCTTGCATCTTTGAAGATTACAGTATGAGCAAGTCCCTCTCACTCCATAACAACTGCCATAGACAGACACATGTTTCTTGTCCCTTAACCATTGAGCAATTTGGTGAAGAGCTGCTCTAGAGACAGAAACCTACACAACTCCATGCAGCATGGACAGGGGAAGACAAGCCAATTAGATTTAAGCATCTCCCTTGCAGCCTGCTTCCACAACAATTCCAGGTTGTTGCTGCTGAAGCCATCCTGCATTTCTCCATTTGACACAACTGCTTTCAGCCTAGCACATCTACATTCTCTCAGTAACTCAACCTAAGATTCAGCTGGGTAAGGAATATTTGCTACACCCCTACTCAACAACAACCCAAAGACCTGGAGCACAGTCTGGCCATGCTGTGCTCCTCATAAGAGATTTCTGCTGCTGCAATATTCCTCCTTCTCCTTGAGCATGCACAGACTGAGCCTACACAGCATCTTAATTCACTGCAGATCTTTAATGGGCTGTTCAAACCCTGCTCCAAGCTAGCAAAAAAGACATTCCCTTGCAAACACAGCCCAGCACCCCACTTTGCTCAGAAGGACCCCACTCACAAGGTCTCAGATAAGAATACCCAATTCCTTTTCTTTGCAGCTAGAAAGAACCTGCTGCTTCCCAGCCACATAGACTTCAGGAACCACAGCTAATTATTCCTGAAGGCATATCAGGTGGGAAGCTCTAAAGTAGATGATAAATATACAGTTCAGCACTTACTTAGGGCATTAGAAGCTGCTACCATAAACACCTCTTCAAACCCTAAAGTCTCAGTGGTGTCTCATGCCCAGGATCCTCAAACTGCTTAATTAAAACACCACGAATGACCCTCAGAAATGGACATCTAAAACAACAGGGGAAATGCTGGGATGCACAGCCTTCCACAAGAACTCTGAGCTCTGCTACAGAGAGCTGACCAAACTCGCTGAGGGCACTTCTGCTCAGCCAAACCAAAACAGCCTTGGCTATTTTACAGAGAGCCACTAAATCCTCCAACAAAGTGGATAATCTGAGCATTTAACCAGCTTACAGGGTGATGTTTTAGTGATGCCTGCTTATAACCTCTTGCAATCTCTGGAGCTTTGCTGGCTCTGTAATGCTTCAGACACACACAGCATCCTGCTCTGAGAGGTCAACAGGGGCTGAGGAGTAACGTGGATTTTTAGTTCTTTTAAAATGGTCCATCATCTTTGTCAGCTGCATTGTTTTACATGGTCACCTGTGATAACAGCAGAGCAGCTAGGTATCTCCCAAAGGAACTGTGGTGCATGGAAAACCCACACCAGAGCAGAGTTCTCCTGATGGGAAGTGCAGCACATGCAGGATGCTCACTGGAGCCCAGTACTGATCACACCCCACTGTGTCACCCTCATGCTGCTCAGGGCACTGTGGGGAGGTAGGAGACCCTGGAGTGCAGGAGTGAAGTAGAGGGAAAAAAAGGCAGTGTTTTAATGCTTGCTTTTTGTTTCTCACTACCTGAATCTATGGTAACTGTCATTAAATAAAGTCATTATTTTAGATTAGTTCTCCCTAGGATAAGTCTGTTTTGCCCATGGCAGTACAATCTCCACATCTTTAACCTGATCCACAAGTTCTCTTGGCTTAATTTCTCTCTGTCTTGCAGAGGGAAATGGCATGGCTGTGTGGCAGTCTGGCCATGAGCCATGGCCACCCCACCACAATCACACAAGGGATACTCTTCACCTTGCACAGCAGCCCTGTGTTGGGAAGGGGCAGTAAGTGTTGTTATTAATGTTCAGTATAATCTTATTTCCCCCAGGGAAAAGGTGAAGAGATAGAAATAACACATTACAGCAGATATAGCTCTGCACAGAAGTCTTGTTTAGTTGGGTTTTTAACCAGAAATCCTTACCTGCCCTGCTCAAGTAAGACTATATCCTTAAAGCCCATCTTGGAAAGGTGATAGGCCACAGAGGTGCCCATGATTCCACCACCACAGATGACAACCTGTGCCTGTGCTGGCAGGGAGAGCGGGTGAGGCTCTGCTGTGGTGGAGGCGCTGCGCTGGGAGCCGGTCATCCTCCTCCATTTCGGGTGAGCCGCCCGCCACTGGATATCAGACAGCAATCGGAGAAACATCCTGGCTGCTCTCTCTCCCTTCTCCTAAAGCACCACCTAGATGTGCTCAGATGTTACCTCAGCACCACTCCTTCTAGGACGGAAAAGATGAGACTCACATTACCGTTTATGACACACAGGGCTGGCAGCAGGACACATCACGTGGTGTGCCGGGTATAAGTGGACATGAGAAAGCTGATGAGCAAACAAACAGGAGGGCACTTACTCCTGAAACAACAACCTTGTCGTTAAGATTCAAACTTAGACTATGAAATAGGAACAGAGCATTACCCCTTTGGTTTTGACACAGTGCAACTTGACAATGAGCAAAAAACCAAACGAAAGGTGGAAAAGCTCTCACACCAGTGACAAGGAGAGCTGAAACGGCCATCAGGCACAGATCATGCTCTGGAATGTTTCCGAAAGCCAGAAGTCATTTGGGCACAAATAAGCTTGATTATTAACGCTGCCAGGCCTTTACCTGAAGAAGGAAACGAAGTCTGTGGTCAGAGTAACTGGTACAGGGCACTGGAGAGGCCCCTCCGGGAACAGCTTTACCACAAGCTTTACCCCAGGGCCTTGCTGCGGCAGCTCCCCCAGCAGCAGCAGCACCGGAGGTTCCCCCGCCCGCAGACTCCGCTCCGTGCCGGCAGCCTGAGGGACGGGGGTGTCAGGGCGCGGGGTGTCAGTGAGCCCCGGGCCTGGGGGCCCCCGCTTCGGCCTGCTCGCCCCCGCCGGCGCCCCCGCCCCCGCGCTGCGGGGCGGCCGGGAGGGCAGTGAGGGCGCGGAGCGGTGCCGGGGCCGGGCGCGCCGGGGTCGCGGAGCGGGGCCGGGCTCGGCGGGGCCGCGCCGGCTCACCTGGGCCAGGGGGAGGCCGGCCTGACCTTCCGCGCTTTACGGCCGCGGCCGCCGCGCGACAGCCGCCCCTGCGCGTGCGTCACCCGCCCCGACCGGCCCCGGGGGCGCGGCCAAGCGAGGCCCCTCCCCGTCGCGCGCGTCCCCTCAGAAATAAACCACCACAAGTACAAACCTGCAGACTCTTTTTATTAAATTCTCCCATTTCATCTGTACAGAAAAAAAATGCACATTATTATGTTCAGAAGTTCAGTAACATCTCAAAATTACACAGCATGGACATGTAAAAAAAAACCAAACAAAAAAAACCAAACTGAAACAAGGAGCGGCCAGGATTTATACACAGAAAGGGTAAACAATTTACAAAAAAAAAAAAAAGTCTCGTTAATGTCACATTTAAAAATAATTATAATAATAAAAAAAAAGAGACTACGTTCAAACAGCATTTGCTGTACAACAGGAATCCGCTGGTTCTGCTCTGTACACTGCGGGTGCTGGGGAGCCCCTTCCCCCGCACCCGGCCCGTACCCACAGCCATGGATCCTCCCTCCCACGGGGCAGGCACACCTTTCCCTTTCCCTTTGCTCCTAGTTCAGGATTCCCAGGCGAGCACTTCTATCTAACTCAGTCAACGCAGGGGCAGCAGGGCTGGGGGCTCAGGGTGCAGCGATTCACCCCGGCAGGGATCTTTGCGTTTGGGCAGCTACGAAATCAAATCTGGGTGCTGTGCAAGGAGAAAATCTCGCCTCTGGCTAGCGAAGAGCAACGCTGTTAGTCCTCCCTATCCCAGACAGCGTTCAGGAACTCAGTGGAGCAGATGCAGAATTCCACCAGCACAGGACAATGGCAGTGCCAGCTGAATTCTCTCTGGCACGTGTGTGATTTGGGTCTCCCCTAACCATGACTCATCAGTGGAAGCAAAAATGGCAGATCTGGCTCCCAAACATGGACACTGCACAAAGATCAGTACCTGGGAGCTGCCTGGAGGATCTGAACCCCAGAATGAGGAACGTGCTCTTACACAAACCCACACTAGAGTTGTTTAAGTCCACAGAGCTGTCTTTTAAATAGGGACAGAGGTGCTAGATGAAATATTCTGGTTTCATACCACACTTGTGCACTCATACACACCTCAAAACTACCTTTTTTTTTTTCCTAAACAAAACCGATAAAGTAAAAAACCCTACAATCTTCTTTCACTAAGTAATAACGTCGTATTTTAACCGAAATCACCATCCAGCTTCAACACAATTCCTCTACAACATTGTGGGATTCCAGCAGTCCCTCTGGCTTATCCCATTTCTTCCCTCTGTACCTACCTGCAGTTAGATTCTGTACTCAAGACAATCACAACCCTTATTTTCCATACAATGCACTTAACTGTGGATTCTTTCAGAGCAACACTGATTATATCACAGTGTCAGATTCTGGAGGAAATGCTAACATTTTGCTACAGAATTATTCAACCTTCACTAGGGTCTTTCCAGCCCTTTGCAGTGACACAGATAAACAGATATACTCAACCCAGTCTGGTGGGCAATACTTCAGGTGCCAGGAATTTTGTTCCCACCCAGATGAGTTACTCCAGCAGCCTAATGACAAAAGTGAGGCAGGAGAATCCCAAGCTGAAATTCTCAAAAGGACTTGATTAGACTCCCTAGGTAAACAATAAATAAGCTTATTACTGGGAATGAGAATGAACTGTAACAGGCTAGCAGGAGTGGAGAATAGAGGTGCACATCATGCACAGTTCCTGACACACATGCCATCCTTTAGGAAGCCTTGCTAACCCTCACAGCAGCAGCAGCAGGAAGCAAATAAAGAGCTGAATGCCTTGCCAGATCCCAAACATCCAGCTCTTCCATCCACGCCCTGAGCACCAGCAACAAGTTTCGCCAACAGCCATCTCCTAAACTTCATTCAGTAGAAGGCAGGCTTCTCCAGTGAGAGGAAAGGGTCATGAAAAGGAAAGACTACCACAGGCTCTTCCACAGCAACCCACTTGTCCTGGCTGACTGCAGCTACTGCTAACACTCTGTTAAACAGAGAAGTTAAAAAGGCTTTCTCAAATTCAAAGCAACAGCAGTGTTTCTTACAACCACTGCTCACAGCTTCCTACCAGGGTGCTGAGACAATGGCACAGGCTGCTCAGAGAGGTTGGGACTCCCCATCCCTGGAGTGTTCAAGAACACACTGGATGGGACTCTGAATACCCTGGTCTAGTGTGCAAAGTGTCCTTCCCAAGGCAGGGGTTGGAATGAGAGGAGTGTTAAGGTCCCTTCCAACTCAAAACTGTTCTATGATTCTTTCTTTCTTTCCCTGCAGTGGAAAATGATTACCTGCAGGCAAGACGATGTGTTGGCAACAGCACAACCAGGTTATTTTTGGAAGAGTACTCCTGTGGGTTTCTCTGCTTGCAAAACCTCTAGATTTTTAGGTATACATGAAAAGGAGGAGAATGTTTCAAGACTGTGACTTGTATATTTTTAGTTGGGAAAAAACCCAGATTTGGTCATCACCAGTGGTAGCAGATCCCTTTTTAAAACAATAAAAGATAACATACTGAATGATAAAATGGCCTGGACCCCTTGCCAACCTTTAAAAGGTGGGTGTGTGTCTACTGTGACAAAAGGTTTATTTAGTATCCTACTTTTTCTTCCAAAGGCCTTGGGCCACACACCTCTAACAGCATCACAGTGCACTCACACAAACTGTGAGCCTGACACTGGCAGAAACACCACCAACCACAGACTAATACACTGCAGAGCACAGACTCCTAACGCCATGCTTCAGGCACCCTTACCATAACCTCCTCCAAATTTAAAAGGAAAAAACCCAGCAAGCCTTATATCTGAAAGTAAAGAAAGTCACCTTCAGAGCTGAACAGGGTTTACATTTGGAACTATGGCTACAAACCTACAATTTTCACTGCAATGTCTTTCGGAATTTAGTGGAAGATGCTATTCCTAGACAATAAACCATCTAATTAGGCCTTTCAAGCTAATCAAGTTACAAAATGCCTTCTCAAAAAGTCACAACAGTTTAAAAAAAGCCCTCCAATGGCAATTTAATAATGCCAGATAGACATTTTGGAGAAGCAGGACTCGTGCCAGCAAGCAAGGCTGCACCAAGATCCCACTTCCCTTGCTGGCAGCTCTGTGAGCACACCCATCTCGACAGCAGTCATTTCAACACTCACTCAAGTGACACAACACACACTTCTGATTGCCAAACTAATATTTGTGGAGTTACACACCTGTGCTACCTCAAGAGACCAAATTAACTGTTTCTCTTCTGCTCCACTTCATGCTGACTGACAGCCAGGCAAGCTCCCTTAGCATCAGGGAGGAGGGGCAAGAGAAGGAATTCAGGCTTAAATTCAGTTTTACCTCACCACTTAACTGCAATCCTACCATACACCAACTCTCCACTGAAACTTCATTTCTCAGGCTTTTGCTGTTGCTTGTTTGTGTTCACAGTACTTTGCTACAAAACCAGAAGTGTTTGTGAGACTCACTAGCATAGCAAGTCTGAACCCATACTAGTTTGCCACCATCCTCTGAGCAGGATGAAGGTATGTTTGCAAAAAGCTTCAGCAAAAAGTCATAGCCAAAGCTCACAGTATTTGGTATATGCCATTCTGTGTGTACAGCATCACCAGAATCAGCTGGTCCACACTACAGAGTGTCTCAAAACCACCTCCACTGTTCTTCTAGAGAACAATGGGGAGAACTGGAAATGCCAGGTCTTACATAGGAGTGTGCTAAGTGGGAAAATAAAGTTATGGTTCAAGCATCAGCCTAAGTTGGACAGTTTCAGGCACATGGTTTTTACCACAGCACCCATGGGTAAGCACGTCCTAAAGGTGAATCAAACATATCCTCCTGTACACATTGATTCTTGTGCAGCATCTTCTAGATTTCATCAACACACCCCATGTTTCAGTCAAAGCACCTGCCTGATGAGCTCCACACCTCCTTGTACTTGAGGAACACAGATAATGGTAAGAAGAGGCCACAACTACTGGTGCAGCTTTTCCAAAACACCTTCTCTGGGCTCTTGGGTCTAAGTATCAGGTTCTGGAAGTATAACTACACATAGCACAAATGCACATGTTGATGGTAACTATGCAAGAGCTAAAAGCTACTTCCCTTAAAAATCCCGATGTTTTTGCCTTTCATACCACACTATCATTCTTCCATCCACTTGGCAGGACTGGCACCTGTGTCCTACATCCCAGGAAAATGCCAGGTCTTATCACCATCAATTGTAGTTATGGAGATGAAAGCCACTCCTCAGTGCCACCATGCAAACCATTAAGACCCCGAGTGTGGTTACAAACCACAGTGCTAACCCATGAGTAACCATTACACAGAGAGAGAGGACAATGGGTGTTCTGGTGCTTTCTGCATCACTGACAGAGCACTGCACTGCCAGTGTGCCAGTACCATCTACACACAGGTAATTTGGGAGGGTAACAGCTTAGCAGAAGCAAGGTAAAATAAAAGGAGTGTTAGAATTTTACTGCATCATTGCTAATAAAAAAGTTGACTGAGTAACTGCTCAGAGCACTTCCTGCCCACTGACACTGTTCACTACTGACAGGCTCTACATACCTCGTGTCTACATTGTGCCTTTAATCTACTGAAACACAAGTTGTATAGCTCACATGAGTATTCAATCCTGGTCAGTATTTTATTCTATCTTGTGAGCAGCAGAGGAAGAAAGGAAGGACATCTTTTCAGCCAAAAAAATCCACAGTCACATAAGCAGGATATTCACTAGGAGACGACACCAGTGGTTGGTGTCC